TATCTATCGACTCAAACGCTTAAAAAGCGAATATAGAGCGATTTTCGTGTGTTTCTCTCCATTAAAGCAGATCGGGCGACGGGCGGCTAGAGACATGTACTAAACTTTTTCAAAATGTCACTAGCCGCCCGTCGCCCGATCTGCTTTAATGGAGAGAAACACACGAAAATCGCTCTATATTCGCTTTTTAAGCGTTTGAGTCGATAGATAAGTGCATCTTTGCTCTATTTCTCTCAATCATATTGATATTAAAGCCTTAGAAGGGCAAAAACTAGAGGGTAACCCGGTAAGACAATAGAAAGTTTGCAAGCCTGAATATACCAATGGAAGGGGATTCCCAGACCTTCATATCGAGGAAAAGTGAAGTTGCAAAGATTTTGTTGCAATTAATCCCTTTGTAAAAGATTAAACAGATTCAACATGCAAGAAGAGAGTGTGTAAACGGCTGTTAAATGGTCAACGCTCTTGATATGCGAATATAGAGCAATATTCGTGTGGTTCTCTCTATTAAAGCTGACCATGCTACGGGCGGCTAGTGACATGTACTGAAGTTTTTCAAAATGATTTAAAATCAAGCGATTACACTGTAATTGCATCTAATTCGACTTAAAACAGTTTGTTTAGCATGTAAAAAGCTTACCCCCGCTTTAAAACTTCAAGAAAATACCGTTTTTAAGTAGAAAGTATCAGTCGCCATCGCAGCAACGGCTTTGGCCTGGCCTGGACGCTGCGATGCAAATTTGAGAAAATTTGAAAAGTGGACTTTTCGGAAAAATCGATTTTAAAAAGAAACGCGAGCTTCAAACAGAGCAAGCTATATATCAGAATTTAGGCGATTTTTGGCTCGATTTTTAGAAAGTGTCAGCGAATTTTTAGCGGCTGTTTTCGATTTTTAAAGTCCAAAAAACCATTTTTTGGCGATTTTCGAGACAAAATCCTTAATAACTCGGCTAAAACTGGTCCTAAAAATACGGGGAATGGCTCAAAAAATCGAGCATCGAACGGCCCGTCTCATGAATTAAACTAGAAATTCATAGCTATCATAGTTTAGGAGTAAATCGCCAAAAACTAAGATCTTTAGAAACTCTGGGAATCACAAGCCTATTGTTTTTTCTGAACTGCTTTGTGCAAACCTGAATCCCCCTCGGTCAAAACTGAGTAAAAGTCGAATAACTTTGCCATACATGGTCCGATCGTCTCAGCGAAAAGACCAGAAGGAAGAGCACAGCCTTCTGCATCCTGGGGTATAACGTATAAATAGATACAATGTATACTTTTGCCAAAAACGCAACTTTCAGCTGAAACACTGCCTATTCAATCGAAGACAAAAGGCTCTCTTTGTACAAACAGAGGAATGTCGCGGCCGGCTCACAGAAATGCTCGATTATCTACGCAAAGAAAAGCAGGAAAAATACGCAAAAAATACTGAACATAATTTCATAGCTCCAGAAATCATTCTACAAGTGCACAAATAAATCGGTTGGATAACTGCTTTACAAAAAATAGGTTTCTGCCTACATCGGCAATACAAAGACTTCTCACTTAAAACAAAAGAAATTCAATAGCGAATTTCTAAAGCATTGGATGGCAATCTTCTTTTGCGTTCTGCAAGGATCCATTGCATAAGGCGGATTTCGTAAGAGGTTGTGTGAATTTTGAATTGAGGGAGGGGTGTCACATTATGAAGGTTTGGAAGCTCTTGACAAAATGTGTCAGCTACGTCATGGAGTAGAACATTCCTGCTACGTTCCTAGTAGGCATATGTCGCTAAATGGGGGTTCATTTTGATTTAAGAATATTAGCTGCCTTGTCGGTGCAGCTAGCACTTCGTCGCTTCAGGTTTGATGCTACACTGGAAATAGTTATCTTATCAAGGGTTGTTAGGGAATTATGTGCTTTTCTCGTCAAGGGCCGTTGAGAGCCAGCAGGAGGGTAATTCACAAAATTAGAAAATTCCAACCCCTTCAGGATCAAGCAGCTTTTATATGGACAAACAAAACGACAACACGACCGTATTAAATTACGACTGGTTGCTATAATATATCTTTATAATATAATATAAAATAATATAATATAATATAGTATATCTATGTCTGTCTTAACAATGCTTGAATGGCTCTTTTTGAGGATACTGGCTATCTCGGAAATACTTTTATCTGACCCAATTTGATTAATTTTTCTGCAAAGTCTGAATCGAAATATTACTAAAAATTATACAAGATAGCCTCCAATCTGACAATTTCTTAAATATTGCACCCAACTTGTTTGAGAAGCGATGCAGATAATCATAAAATAGTTCTATTTTTGAATTATTGTTATCAATGAATAATTTTTGTTCAGAGCTGATTCAAGACGAGACTTATCGCAAGTAGGGACGGGGTGCTGTTCGACAACATACGAAAGAATCTTTCGTGGACATACTACATTATGCAAAGCTTTTATCTTTTGAGTCCAAAGAAATAAGAAATGTGAATACGAGCCACAAGATATCTAAAATCATTGAACTTTTATCACTTCTTAACAAGTAAATGATGTCGTTGAAATCCGAGGGATGAGATCTTCAGAATATCACTTGCTTGAAGGCACTTCCACGGAATGCTAACGTCATGCCATAAATCCTGTTGCATTCTAAAATAAGAGGAATAATTTAAAAGTACAGACACCAACATTGCAAAAACTCTGTACAATTTTCAACGATGTGAATCTAATTGATAGATGTGAATCTATCATTTTTTTCATTGCAAATGAACGCAAGTGCACAAATAAAACGTGGCAGGCTTCGTTTCAATACCGATGACTCCGAATGTTTTCACAAAGAGGGTGGAAAGAATGCCCATGAACACGGACAGCAAAGCCTCAACCTCAATACAAACCGAGGAGCAGTCATTGTTCACTTATTTACCTGCTAGGACCAATCCAAATATTTTTGGGGCAGTCTTCTGAAGAATAACCAGCGAGTAGCACAGAAAGATTTGCAAACGCAAAGATTTACCTAGGTATCATTGCATTGCTTGATATGTTGCAATACACTGAAGAAACTGAAAACACTGGTTAACTAAGGGGCGACACCACATAGAAGATCACACAAAAAAGAACTGTAAAAGTTTGGATTTATTTTTCGCTAAAGACAACAAAAGAAGCCCGAACATTTAGGAATCGTTAATTTCTAGATCTATTTGTATTGCAAAGTTTGTTGTGAATACAAATCAATAAAGTGCCTTTTAAGTTATACCAGCGCATCTAAACAGAGTGTACCAAGCAGTTGGAGTGTGTTTAGAAAAATGCCAAAAATTTTCCTAAGACCACGGAGTCACGGTACCAAGAAATGAGAGCAAACAAGCTCCTAAATATTAAGTAAGCTCGCTGTTAGCGGCCAAGAGCCAATCTATCTTCGCTTCCCCAATAGCATAAGTACATCATTGGTTTTTTATAAACTGGTTTCATTCGGTAAGAAGATAGGTACAAACCAGCGGTGTCGTAGAGGGGGAATCCGGGGCGCTCAGCCCCCTTGTTATAATTGAGAGAGATTTGGGCAATGTGAATAACCTCTTTATATTGCTATTGGTTGCTACTGAGACGTTTAAAAATAAAGGCAAATAAATAGGGTGAGACAATGGGTGTGTCCTTGGGTATGGCTTCTAGGTGTTCCCTACAGTACAGCCCCCTTACTAACTTTTTAGGATGGCAACCCTGGTGCAAACACCACAAAAGTGGCAACAATAGGAATAAATTCCCTTGTGTTGGATAAATGCCTTAATATTCTTTTTTCAGCAGTTTTGTGCCTCCGTCGTTGGTGCTTGTTTTGAGTGTTTGTCTCTAGCTCCCCCTTACCCTGGGTGCCAGAGCCTCAGCTCCCCCTCTGCAAAGGACTTCTGAGGGGTTCGAAGAGGTCAGTATTAACTGGGAATCGAGCAAGGCAAAAAATTTATCTTCAAAAAGCTGCATGTTTTCGTTAGGTTTGATCTCAAGATGGCAAACGAAACTGGCAAATAAATTAAGGGCTTGGTAGCAATGCTAATTAATCCATTAAACTAACACCGGAGACATCCGGCGAGGACATGGCGTATAATGGATGGGTTGGCTGCGTGGTGTATGACTTATAAACAACCGCTGCTGGCAAAAAGGACGATTTATAGTTTATCGTTCCCTATTTGACCCCGAGCGCTACCAACATGATTGTTTTTAAATCAACCTTTCATTCATAAGACGAAAAGTTTAGGCCTAAATTTATACGCAGGAAAACAAAACTGCACCCTACCTGCGGTGCATTTAATAAATAATAATAACAAGAGCAGCAAAATCAACTACAAACCTTTAGATGCAATGAAACGATGAACCAACTTTCTTACTTGCCATGTCAGCCATTTTGCTTTTACCATGTGAGGCAGAATGAAAACAGCAACGTTTAGCCTCGTTCTTGCGAGCAATCCTCTATTTGACCCATTAGACAACTTTCTCTAATTTATACTTGGAGGTTTTTGCCCCACATTATCCCATCATTTTTTTTAAAAAGACAAACTTTTATGGGAGGGCCGCAGATACTATTGCCCTTGGTGGGTAAGGGGTGCTTGAGTCCCCAACATTTATGAAAGTCCTTTGTTTCCAATGAACAATCCCCTTTGCATTTATTGTTCTCAGTCACTGGTACCCCTAATAATTCTATCCTTCTTACGGCACTGCATGGCTTATGTATACAGTCATAAAGGAGCTATATCAAAGTGGGAGCACATCAGTACGAGGGCGCCATACCAACGAACAGTTCTTGGCAGGGGGAAATTGGACAACGCCTGTTTTCCCAACTGTTAGAAATCAGAAAAAAGAATTTGTTTATTTTTTAAATCGTCACTAATTCTGCCATTAATTGTGCCTTGGCGTACTTTTGGCACAACAGCTTTCTCTTCTCCTTATTAACTAATTAGGATCATAACGAAGAAATCCCGTTATCTGTGAATTTGTAGCAGTACAAAAGATGAATCCATGAGAATATGATAAGACCCAGATTTTACTGCAAGTTCATTGTAAAAACCTTTTTAACGACAATTATAACGAGATATTCTTTAGTGGTACACGATCATTAATTGAAAATTATAACACGATAACTTTTCAAGGTAAGTTTCCTTGAAATCACAGTAAATCCCCCAAAAATCTCTGCGAGCTTCGAAGCGCTAGAAAAATAAAACAATTCTGGAGGGACTTCACACAACAGACCACTTTCTTACTCTAGGACATCTCTTTAAAAAAGCCGTAGATGAAAATAAACCGGGTTTTTAAGATTATTTTCACGAATATTCTTAGTTAAATAACAAAGCCTGGACAATTAATACTTCGATAACCAAACGAATTATTTTCAGCTAGATCTTATTCTTCCATTTTACCACTAAAAATTTCCTTCAAAGGGGAATGTATTTTTCACGACAACATTTTGGGGATTTTTTGAAAAAGTGCTATAACATAATGGATTTGAAACCAATGGGCTTTTGCTCGAAGTAGAACCTGGAAATAACATTACGAAAACTGCAGTTTTACATGAATACATTCTGAAGAGGCTCGGTAATGCATCTAGGAGGGCCAACACCATATGTTTCATATTCTGTTTACAAACTTTCCTTACAATTTTACAAAATGATACCAGCTAAAGATTGAGTTTAATTTACGCTTAACTTAAATTTCGTGATGTCTAAACACTTTATATTAAAATTAGCCTATCCAGAAACACTTATCATTTGCTAAATAAATCAATGTCATTATTTTCTAATAAATATTGCTCCGACGTTTTCTATAACATGATAATGACAAGTGAAGTAGCGAGCCTCCTTTGCAACTCTCCTATGAGATGTTGTACTGCGGCAAATCACAGCGATCCGGCACGAACTGTAGTTTCGTAAATCATATGTGCAGATGGGTGTTAATAACAGTTTTTTAAACAGTGTTATTTCTCCTCATCTCTTCACCATGGCTGTGCTAATTTCAGGTGAAACAAGCGTATTTACATCCTTACATAGTTCTTAAAATAGATTAGGTGTTTAATTCTGATACGAAAATGTTCGTGAATGTAGTGGAAACGGCGACCTCTTGGTAAAATACTGAACGGAGGAGCACGCTTCAACTTGATACTTGGTCATTTAATGACGTCAGTGGCTCAAATACCTTGCTAACTCAAAGGCGGAATTCTATTGGCGAAAAGGACAATGTCACCATGTCTAGCACCAATCATCTTCCTCCTGATCTTGAATTCCGTAGATTGCATACGGACTATGTCCTGACCTTATAGCCATAGCTATTTGCTGTTTTACATTCGGGTGATAGCCATTTTCAGTGGCAGCGTTCCTTCGCTGTTCCGGAGGCTGATTTAATGAGCGCATTGATACTGAAATTGGCTGCACACCTTGCATAGGGTTCTGGGATAGATTTGGGGTTGACTGTCTCATGTTTCCATTTGGAATTGCCTTAAAAGATAAAGTTTTATAAGTACTTCATACGATACGAACTATAAAAGTTAACAACTTAACACATAAAATATACTTTCAATATGTTATTTAAATGATTAAAAGGATCAAACTTTGCTCTGGATCAACTTAGTAAGAGGCACTGATAGCCTCCTAGTTCACCTAATCAAGGGTTTAGATCCTCATCAAATGCAAATACGAGTAGGCTACTTAGCGAGGAGCCCTAAAGTATAACAAAAGGTGCAGTGAAAGCACATTTTGAAAATGACTATACTTGCTGTACTTGACTACAATCTTACACTTTGATTTACGCTAAATACTTTGTTTCCTGAGAGAATATCTTCAAGGCTGTGCTTTAAATGTTTACATAAACAATACAAAGTACCAACAAAATAAAATGTGTGCTTCTTCTTAGCATAAATACGACTTCATACTTTCTTTGAAAAGTTTTTTGACTTGAAGTGATAAATTCGTTACAGTGATCTTGATAAATTAGATTGAATCTCAGTGATTCAGCATATCTGAAGAGATGAACAACAAATTTGATGATATTTTAATACTTACAGTATTAAGATGTGCTGTAGATCTTTGTTTTACGTGGTTTTTCATTTGATCCGATACTTTTTCAAGTGCAGGAACATTTCTATGTGACTGAACAGAGAAATTGGATATGAGAAGTAAAATACTTGAATGTGTTATTAATGGTGTATTGCTTTGATTATCCATGTTCAGGGCGTATTTGACGGGACTTTCCAACGGGACTTTCCAACGGACTTTCCATCCGGGTTGAGAAGCATTGATGAATAGGTATTTCAGATTGCTGTTTGTAATTTCGGTGCAATTAACTGGTTTGAAAAATATATCAAAAGCCAGTGGATTTGCTTCTGGCTAGAGCAATGCTGTTACAATAAGCAACTGGGCTAAAACTAAGGAAAAAGCATTTTGTACTTACTGGATGATGGTTGGGGGTGTTATGGTTTTGTGCGTTGTGGTTGGCCGCGTTGGCGATATCGTAAAAGTTGTCCTGCAAAACGATGCAAAATGTTTGTTGTCGTCATCGTACGTGTTTTCAGTGTCAACACTGCCACCGTATACAGTTAGCCAAGAAAAGTAATTTATCACAAAAAGATTCATCTTATTCCTTTATCTAAAAAATATCTTTACAGGAAACTTCAAACCTAGCTGTTTATATGATAACCAGACTATACTGTTGGACTGAAAAACAACCTCGTTTATTTTGTGTCAAAAGAGTGCTGATAAGAATTGAAATCTGTTGGTTGTTAAAAATCGGATGAAAAATTTAACAGCTTCAATGTCTTTTCATCTTTATCTTTTTGCAGTTTTTGAACACTCAGATACCACGATGAAAGCCACTTAATGTGAACCAATTTTAATAGGACAAATAATATCCTATATGGATCGATTAAATGAGAATTGCAAGCACCAAGTTCTAGCTCTCGAGTTTTCAAGAGTTCATTCTTCAAATAAAGTTACATTACAACTGACAAGGGCTTTCTGCTTCAATCAGCAGAGCCTATGACAGAAAGCAATGCAGCAGGAATTTAAACAAGCTAAGATAAATGATGTGAGATAAGAGTTAATAATTGGACAGGGTTTTAGCTGAAAGTGAACTATTGTCTTGGAAAATTTAGTTAGCTGTAGAGTCTTATTATTGCTTTTTGGCAGCCAATTAAAATATAACAGTAGACAGAACTTAGCATTGTTTCTTTGCATTTCATTTATCAAAAGTTTTGACCACATTTTTAGAATCCAAAAGATAAATCCAATATCTAACTGAGACCAGGGTCCTACTCAAACAGACATTGCCAGTATCAAGAGAGCTTGAAGGTCGTGTTTTGACAAGCTCTTTTCAATAAAGAAAACTTTTCTATAATTTAGTAGCTTAAAGTTAAAGACAGCTTGCAAGCATGTTGAAAGCACTCTGTCCCGACGCATTTCACTGGCCATTTAAATTACCATTGGTTAGACTATACAATAGACCTATTGTTACGGAGCCAATCGGCTAATCTTCAATGTTTTCTCGATTATAAACACGCTGCAAAACCTATTTTTTAGTCTAAATTGTTGACTGACGGGACATAGTGCCTTAACTAAGTATTTTTGTGCTTTTAAAGCCAAATATATTGGGTGCATAAGTAAGGCATTTAAAACAAAACTTACGGAATTCATATGAGGAATATGAATCATTGTTTCTGGTTTGTTTTCGGTCTAAGAGAAAGGAATCAGCTGATTAAAAACATTCCGTTCATTAGAAGGAAGTCTAAATAAAGAAAAATTTGTACTCGTGCATGTGGACATAGGAAGTATAACAACAGTCGGATTCACCATCGGTTTCTTAGCAGAAACTCTGTTAAAAGATTTTCAATTTGTGCAAACCATAAATTGTGCAGGAAATCAATTAAGATTTTGCATCAGAAAGGGACATAAAGTAATGGATGAAGCAAGCATGTCCTTTTAGAAAGTAGTGGTTGCTTGTATTGAAAATAAGCTTCAACTCATTCTTACAATATAGAACAATACTTTCAGACAAGCTTTCTGTAGATAATATTAAATTTTTAAGCTGTACAAAAGCTTGTTGAACATCACGTCTTTGTTGAATGAATGAATTAAAAATCATATTTACTTTAAAGGAGTCCTTTCCTTGCTTTTTGAGGTGCTTATAATTTTCATAAATCAATTTGGCGCAGTATATCTTTCCAACCGTCATCTGGTTTGATCCTGCGCAAAAGTGTTTTTGAAAAATATTAACTTGATTGAAAAGTATTATAAAAAAATTTACTTTGTAGAATTACTCAATAACTCTACAAAAAAGAGCTCAAAAAAGAAAAATTAATTACTACGTAAAACAAAAATAACAACAACTAGCATTTGCAGCGTTTTGTAGATTAAGATGATCAAAAAAGGCAAATCACGGAGAAGAGTAAATTAGCAGTTGAAAAAAAATATCTAACAAAGAAATATCCAAAGTATAAACTTCCGATAAAGATCAAAAGCAACCAGAAAATTACCATTAGTTGTTATCCGACGCTTTTACCCTTAAGAGTGTAGGGTGAAAAGTTCTTTAGTATGTTTCCACGTTTATTGTGTAATCTTGTTAGCGTTAGCTTCTCAAAGAAGATTATCGAGTCATGACAAAGGAAAGAAGAGACAAATAATGGAAATTACCTTTGGGTCTTTTGGGTATTACCCTATCGAGAGTCTTTTTTGTTATTTTTGGCCATACTCTTTTTAACATTTCCCGCATTTCCATGTCGTTGGATTGCAAATTGTCTAGAAATCATCAAAGAAGATTAGGTTAAAAACTTAGAAGCTCGTTATGGCACTGTAAATCATCAACAACGATTGGATTTAAATCACTCTAACACAAGCAGCAATTCATTTTTCGAGCATTTCTTCAGTATGATGCAACAAAGAAGATAATCATGGCTAACATGAGTGAGGGAGCCGATGATTTCTAGAATCGATTGGAACTGTGTGGATAGGAGGTACTTCAAGTAAATCATGGTGCTTGACTTGGATTTATTGTCTACTCCTTTACGTTTTAAGCTCATCACGAATTCATTTGGATGAATAGCTGTAACTTACTTTTCTCTGTCATGATATCGAGGGCTGTTCGAACCAGAGCAAACAATGTAGCTGTAAAATCCACCGTGTTATCAGGATGCAGAATCATGTTCATCCGTATGAGCCGCTAGAAAAACAAATACAAGAGTCTCAGGCATTGCAGCTTTAAAAAGAGGGGAATGTCAGAAGTAAAGGGGATGTTAGTGATGCAAAACGTCGAATTAGACTATTTAAACGGCGAAGTTGAATTCGAAATCAGATGCAAGATTAAGGGAACCATAGATGTAGCTAATCAATCGATGAAGGGTGTCAAATTTCAATACCTTATATGCAACGACTTTGGGACATTTGGTTCCCAGGCCAATTGGGGGTGACATTTGGCGTAGCAGCTGGCATACTTCTGTGTGTTTGATCCGTCCTCTGCAGAAATAAGGAAATCGTTAAACTTATGTTTGGGGTGCCCTGTACACTGATCAATAAAAAAGACTGAATCGAGCTTCCTATTGTGTTGCGACACCAAAGCCTACTAAATTTCCAAAGAGAGGGGACCCAAAAAAGACGGGAAAACTTTAATGATATGGATATGCGAGAGTTGCAATGCTGTGTGTATGAGTATTGACAAAGGCCAGAGCAGAGGAAAACATTGCTAGGAGTGACAGTGAAGGCTCTTTCCTCGCATGGACTGTTCTGAGGTTCTCTTTGATGGTGACACTCTTGTCTCGATCCAGTCTTTTTTATGCATCAGTGGCCCTGTGGGGTTTCACGAATCCCGGCTTTTCCAATCATTAATTCCGTAGCCACTAAAACTCACCATAGATTACCTACTTATTAATTCAATTGATTTTTAATAATCACATCTATCTTTTTCTGAACTACTAGCCACGTAAAAATTCCTAACAATCATTTCGGGTACAAAATTCAAAATGGCTTTGAAAAAAGCAAACATTCTGCGTCATACTAAGCTTTTCGTCTGACACTCTTCTACTTTCTAAAGGGAATAACTATTCAATCCTTCACTTCGTTATTGTCTCGTTTACAACTTGCTAAGGGCATTTGCTTAAAACTTTCCAATACGATTTTCTGCAGAAACAAGAATTTCTGTAGATGGGATTGAATTGGCAAGATACTTTGATAAAATGAGTAAACTTACGTAGCACGAGGGTCATACTCTGCCCAGACCCTCACAAATTCATCAAGATGATGAGGCCCCAGAATGCTTTCGTCCTGAGTCAGGTACCCAAAGTTATCCATGATAACAGCTACAAACAAGTTCAACATCTACAACAGAATAAAATATCGATAGAATCTTTCTTAAATACATCTGCTTTGATTTAATGCCAAGCAAACAGCAGAGTAGGCTTGTGTCTAGATCATTACAGAGACAAAGTTCACATGACTGTTTTGAAATTTAGACTTGTTAAAGTCGGTGTAAATGTGATTTACGCTTAACGGAATCTTCTATTGAGAAAGGTAACCTACTAGAATTAGAAAACAAACGGAGTAGCAGCATCATGATAGCAATTTTTAACACGATGCATAGTAAAAATACATACCAAGAAAGAGCAAAAGAATATAAACGATATGAAGTATGCTAATGCGAAGTTGCTTCCACAAGTCATGTCCTCCGTTTTCCCTTTGATTGACGTGTCACACTTGGCAGGAGCAGTGCAAGCTAACATAATTTTGTGCCAATTTTCACCAGTTGCAGATCTACAATTAGCAAAAGGTTTATGGGTTGAAAGGAGTTTGAAAAACCTAGGTGACAGATGAAGGCCTCAAACTTATTGATTGGAGTGAGATGTGGAGGTTTTGGGGGATTATTAAATTGCATGGTAAATATATGAAACTGGAAAGATTATTCAAACAAGGAAATGCTGATATCACTTGAAAAACTAAAAACACGCAAGGAATAAATCTGTTATAAGCAGGAATTTAGTCGAGGTAGTAAGATTAACATCATATTCAAGGGAGGGGACCTTTTTTACAAGTAATAGGAATGAAGGGGTTTATGCAATTAAAGTGGGAGGCCTTTTTAGCAAGGCGGGCTTAACCCAAGATATGCAGTAACTCTACTGAATCATGTCAAATGTAAATAAAGGTACACAGTAAAGCATTTCTAAGGATGTTGTAGAATACATGCCAAGGGCATTGCTGGGAAAAACTGTTTTGTGTGTAAATGGTAATAGTTCTGCGATTTTACCTGAACAAAACTTGAATTGATTGAAAGAACGTCCTAAAGTTGTTCTGTCTACCGATCAGTGACCATGGCTCATCTTCAGCGTCAAGTTTTATCGCAGAAAACAGCTGTCAATAAAGAATAAGTCTTTTTATCTTGAAATGCTATTTGAAAATATTATTGATTCTCGTCGTTGTTTTGTTTTGTTCCTGAATATATTTTTATTAATCATCTTACTCATTGAAAGATTAACAGATTCCAGCGAACAGCCTATCCTGCGTATCTTCCATTAGAAAACTCTGACATGAAAGGTTAAAAGTTGTTTAATAAATCAATTAAAAATTTGCAATAGACGCTAAGCTAGATTCAGGCAAGAAATGACCTTGCATCAATATCAATTTTGCAATTAACATTTTTCTTCCACTACCATAAGCAACAGTGTTTTCACATTGCTGCATATCCATCATTGCAAGTTGAGATATTTGTTTTAATGAACATTTGTAGCTTTCAATTTAAAGAAAAAGGATACCAACCTGCATGCCTATGATAGCATAGATGAAGAAAAGGAGAAAAATGAGCATGCCAACATAGGGCAAAGCCTGGAAGAGAAGGATAATACTATATACAATACCATGCATTGAAAATACTTAGGCTCAAAAGAATTATGTAACATACAGAAGCATGACCAATAAAGAAATAAAAAAGTTCAAGGCTAGCTAAGTAATCGTCTTGAAGGCATATAACCAATCTTTCAAATGAAACTTATTAATTTACATAAGAAAAAATATTGCTTTTAGAGTTACAGTTGGAAAAATTGATATGATTAGCTAAAGAGTAACCGTGAATTCTTAAGTTTTTGCAAGAAGCAAGTGCAAGTATGCATGTATACAAGGTATACCTTGAAAGACTGGAGAAACGTCCAGAGCAGAACCCTGATTGTGTAGCCTCTGCGCAGCAGTTTGATCAGTCTGGCAGCCCTAAATAATCTGAACAGACTAGGGTCGAACGGGATTGTATTAGCATCCTACAAGCAAAACAAAGAAAATTCATGAGGTAAATAGAAATCGAAGAGATGTACAATAGAGCAATGAAATAAACGAGACATCATATCAATTTATGATGAACAATCTAGTTCATGTATTCCTAACTTTCGTTTTTGTCGAGTGCCATAGCTTAATGACACTTTGATGTCATACAGAAAGATTTAATAGCAATTTGATGATTTAACAAAGATTAATGTTCACTTATTGCCATCCATTATTTCAAGAGTCGTCTGAAGGTTGTCAAACCACAAACGGCTGCACCCATGTTGTTCAAGAATTCATTATTGAATAAACACAATTCAGGCTGAAATGATACATCGAGAAAGATATCACTTGTGCAATATCATTAGCCTGCGCGCAGACTCTAAGTGACTTACCAGAACAAGATACTTAGAGTATGTGCGTAGGCTAAATATAAGTGGTTCTGAAAGCAAAACGATACCTACCATTGTTTTGGAGAAGGTGAAATCAAGCAAACTGCCAAGTACTATGATGAAGTCAAACACATTCCAACCATCTCTGAAATAGTTCTAAAATAACAAATACAAAAATTAATTTTTTTTTTTAATTTTGAGCTGATGCAATATACAAATTATATTTTTCTTAAAAATTTGAAAGCTCAAGTTGGTTTAGTGTAAACTTTTGAAGTTAACTTAACTGTTAAAAAGTTCTTGAGAAAAAAATTTTCTGTCTCTTTTCACGTCATTAATAATGTTGCTGATTGATCATTGCAAATATTTGAAACAGGTATGGTAATCAAACGTTAACATTAATTTTTTAAACATTAATAAAGGCCCGAGCATTTAATAGATCATATACAGTAAAAACCTCTTAAGTTTTTTAAAATATAGTTAACTTGAATGAAGTCATAAAAAGTGGGATATAAAATCATTTTTGGGCCCCATTAATTTAAGGCTTTTAGTTATTGAATCAAGGTGTCCTAAACTGGGCTACGCGACCGGTTTGGGCTTTCGTAAAAGTGTGAATATGATACATGCAAATATTCAAGGAAGAACAAACCTTTCTGAATGCAAATAGTTTCAAAATGCATTCTCCGGTAAACATGAACGTAAATATGTCATTTAGCAAATTGAGAAAACTCTCGTAGGCAGGAGGCTGGTCATCAAACTACGATAAAGCAAAATTCTAGTGAAACGGATAACTGCTTAACGAGGTATGGTTTTCAAAAACATAGCTGAGTTTTTTGCTACACTGCATGGAACAGGAAGTTCCACTCTCAAAGCTCTACGTAATTATGAAGCAACTATGGAAGGAACTATGAGATCTGAAAAATATCTTTGGAAGATTCAAAATAAATGTAAATTCAAACTATCTATTAAATAAATCTGTATCAAATAGCTAAATCTGAAAATACCTTTAGCATAAGGATCATTGTGTTACCAGCAATCAGTAGCATGATAAGGTATTCGAATGGTATTGAATCGACTAGACGCCACACTTTGTATTGTAGAGTATTTGGGTCTTCTGGCATGAATCTTTCAGCCGGTTTGGCAATCATAGCAAAACGAAGGCAGTCTCGCTATAACGGAAAAAACATCAAGAAAATTTGTAAACTAAAACTAATGCAAATAAAAGAAAACCAATTCTAATGGATCAGTTGCACTTCCATATTAACTGAAGTATATTTCGAATAATCGACAATAGAGTTCTTTTCAAAAGCAAGATTAGTTACATTTGGACACTGTTTTTGGTAAAACTATCCTAAAGTTTGTCTGATGAAGTAAAGTATCTATTTTAGCAAACTCACCTGGTTTCTTTCAAGTTCACATTCGCCTTCCTCTGCCTCGCCTTGCTCTTGAAACGTGAGGATAATCAAAGCAACGAAGATGTTAAGGAAGAAGAACATGAATATGATGACATAGAATATGAAGAACAGAGAGACTTGTAACTGGTTGTTGAGCAGTGGACCTCTGTCTATGCCAGTTGCATCGATTGCATTGAACATGACACTGAAACAAGTACCAACCAATTAGAGCAACATTTTAAACTGCATATAGGGATCATTAAAAAGGAGAATTCACTAAAATTCACGACGATGTCTCAAAGTATTTGTTCATAACTAATATAAGTTGCAAAAAGGCCATAGTAATTATTAGATTTATAGAAAGAATTGGAAATGTAATGAGTGTTATTACTCTGGCCATCCTTCGCCAGTCGATGAGGTAAACAGCGTCACGATTGCAGACGACACATTGTCAAAATTGAAGTCATGCTTCTTCCATTCGCGGGCTCTTGCCTGGAAATCAATCGATAGAACATATTTTAAAGACGAGCGATTCGCGTAATAGAAAAAATCAGTACTATCATAGACAGTTTTTAAAGGTTTTATGGAAAATTCTACGAAATGATGTAAAGAAAAACAAAAAACAAGATTTGATAAACGTTTTAGAAAATCAGTCCCATGTATACGTACAACTGGAGCCATTGGGTTGGATGCTGGATAGTCGAGATAGAATCCCCTGGGAAAAGACAGGTGTCAATGATTAGAAAGAATGTCAGTTGGCAAGGCTGCTCCATCAAATTAATATGATAAATAGTTAATTATAAACCAGTTTGATTGAAAAAGAGCAAATTAGTCTTTGGTCGGCAAGGAACAAATAAGAAATTTCTCCCTAGCCAGCTGATGACATTCAGAAAACCTAACTCCACGCGAAGAGAAACTCTGTTTTCAAGCGTCAAATTGTTTCTTTGCCTTGTCGTAAAGATGTCAATTAAATTATTATAAGTATGCTCTGCCATTACATAAGAATATTGTATTCAAGATAATGCTGATGATCAACTTGGTCAGCGATGCCTTGTTATAAGCATCTCGTGTTCATAGATGTTTCAAGATTCGATCTCGTTTAAGATGAAGTCACCATGATTTTTCAGGTATAATCTTTAACAACGTGTTAATCCAATATAAAAGTCAGTCTAAAGGTTTCCAAGTCCTTACGGTTTTATTTACCAGGATTCATGGAACTTGCTAAAGCATAGGCAGGGCTTTAAACGCGTACAAGTGTTGAGATGTTCACAGGCAATTGTTAAGAACTCACTTGCAGGTCTCTCTGGTAACTTTCGATGGATCAGTACAGTAAAACGACTTTCCCTGTAAAGAAAATATTTATATTTATTTATCTTCGACATATTCCTATCATTCAAATTTTTCAAAGAATTATTCGTAGCGTCTCAAAAGTCAGGTGATGGTATTTTTTTATAGATCCCTACAATTATCAAAATTGCTCTTTAGGATCACATTCAAGGTGTTTTGGAATACAAAAATGCTGTTGGTACAACTGTTAAGACATAAATTAGACGCTCTATTAACGAAAGTAGGTTAGTATTACTTACTTGGAAGAGCTGTACTCCAATCACAGCAAATATGAACAGGAAAAGAAGGGTGATGACCAATATATTTAGCACATTTTTCAGTGAAAATATCATGCACTGGAAAACAGCCTTGAATGAAAAAAAAACTGCAGTTAGCCAAGACGCTCGGGTAATTTCTTTTAATTTGGTAAAGAAGTAATCGTGTAATGTGAAATGTGGGTAATGAAGTATTTTTCTTAAACAGCTAGCAGTCTTTACTTCTCACAGCACTGGATGGAATTTGTATGGGCATACTTATTCGGGAAATATACACAGTAGGGTTAACTTTGCTCTAAATGATAAGTTTTAGTACATAAACTGAAAAATGAATGTGCAAAACATAGAAAGATTTCAAGGACACTAAAAAACTGCGCCTTTCACAGGTGATTGAAAACAAGAAGCTTTAATAAATGTCTATTTCATTGGCACTTTTCTTAGGGTGCTGTTTCGCCCCAAAAATTTTAAATGGCTCTGTATGCTTCAATACAATTAAATTTTAAGAACAAGAATTTCAAATAAATGCTTCTGTGACAGGTTTATTTGATCATGTCAGAAAGTTGCTCTGTTGCTGGAATCATAAAATAGTTAGGGGTTGTTCAATAGGGGTAATAGTTGGGCGAGGTAATTTCATAGGAATTTTACAAGTGGTACAAAAGACATTTTGTTTTTTGTTTGAAACTCGAAATTCTATTTTTTGATCCCACTTTTATCGCATAACTAAGCAAAAACCTTGCATTGGCACGAATATGATACAGTAAAACGGTTATGCATATGAAGTAGAAAAGCATTGTAAAAATAGGCAAAGTAGACAGTAATTCTTTCATGTGGGAAATTTGTAGACTGGAAAGATATTTACTTGCGGCTAACATAAATAAACCTAGAAATACAGCATACTGCTGATAACTCAAACCTTCAAGGGATAAATGAAATAGTTCGAGATAGCTAATGATTGACTTATTCTAATAGGACCGGACGCTAATCTATAAAACATTACTATGTTAATCTATGTTGCTTGTGTTTAGTATGTATTGTTGTAATTATCTTATGATCTTTAGTCAGCTTGAGTCTTAGCACGAGTTGCTTTGTATGAAAGGTTTCTTCGGATTGGGACGTTTGTTTATATGAAAGTATCTGGCAAGGAGAATGAAATACCAGTTCGTCTTGGCTTATGTTCAAGCTATCTGGAGTTTACTGAAAAAAGCAATGGAATGACATAAGCACACTCACTTTTAACTTCTTAGCCTTGTTTATTGCTTTCAAGGGTCTCAATACTCGGAGCACTCGAAGCACTTTGACAAATTTTTCCGAATCAGCAGAAGGGTTTTTGTCGTAGCTGGTTAAGAAGAGAAATAAAAACTTTTAAATGAAATAATTGAGCCCATGCTCAAAATCATAGCTTTTGTATAAATAAATGGTAGATTGAAGGTAAATGAATTAATAAAAGCTTGTTGGAGTAGAAGTTTATTCACTTTGAACGTATTTTTTGTTAAATTTCTCAGAAAAAAATGCTACCTAAATATTGGGTTTACATTATGACTTCAAGTGGTCGAATGAAAAAGTTATACAATTCCTTTAAAACTTATTTTCATAAATCAGAATGATGAAATACAATCCTTGCATTTTTAAGATTTTTAAGGTCCTTTCGTTATCTAAGATTTTCAATTGAAGAGACATTCTGTTAAGAAAACTGAAGGAAAAACCAAGAAATGTTTACAAAGCCAATCTGATGGATGCTTGAAATCCAAAAAAAACTTTTAATACTTGTACACAATCTATATATTCCTACCTCAATACGAGTGAAGCAATGGCACAGCTGACTACAAGGGCATCAATGAAATTCCACTCGTCTCTGAAATATGCACCTTTATGCAGAATAACTCCATAATTTATGATCTAAAAGAACAAAGGAGAATAATTTTCATATTCTTCCTCTACCTAGATCTTGCTTGTTCTAATGAGGATTGTAGATTTTTTGTTATCAAGTGTGATATCTTGCAAAAAGAAGACGTTAAATTTAAATTGCTGTTTATGACGTTTTGAGAAAATTTGATAAAGCTTGTTGGCAAACCTTGACAAGGACCTCCATGGCAAAAATGCTTGTGAAGAGAAAATCGAAGTATATCAGCACCTATAAAGAAGATGGAAAAAATTCAGATAAATGCTCTGTATTTTATATTCCAATTAACCATGAATTACTTATCTTACTTTTATAAAGTTAATTTGCAACTGATAAGCCTATATTTACAGAATAATCAATCCTTGCTCTTTAACTTTGTGATGGCCTAAGAGATATCATAGGGTAGGTTGGCTTTTACCACACTAGTCTTAAGCTTGGAAATTATTCAAGTCTAGCTCATGACATAATTTCTTCTTTTGTTGAGAGTGTTAAATTGACATTGTTGTTTTTCTGAGGTACAGGATGGAACAAAAAACGTGTCAGTAAATAAGAATTATGCTGTGGAAATCATTTTTGCAGAAAAGAGTAAAACCTGCATGTTTTTCATGATGGAGAAAAAGAAGACGTATATCAAGTGTATTTTCAGATTATCGGTGATTAATAATGATTTTGTGATCAATAAATTGGATTTGTATAAAACTAAACTGTTGAATAGTTAGGTTCAAATTTCATTAATAGGTGATGATTGACGACACCACTTATTCTTATGGCTGATTCAAAATTGGTTCAAGATGCAAACACCCGTGAACTTGTAGAACTAGGAAATTCAAAAAGCATTCTTCGAAACTGTTTTATAAAATATCAATTAGTAGAACATTAGGTTTGTTTTTACCGTGTTGTTTGATTCATCAATCTGGTCTTCAAATGCCAACAAGAGACTGCTTATCAAAATGCACCCCAGGATGAAGTTGTCAAAATGCCTCAGTGTTATCAGCCAATGACAAAATTTTCGAATCCTGAAAACAAATAATGGAGTTGAATTCACTCGAATGTAAACACGAATTGTTTGGCTTGACTATTATGCCTGTACTTCAATGAACTCTATGCGTATCAATAAGCAATTGATCATACGATCATTTAGTCAAAACAAGGATATAAATTTTGAGTGAAAAGCAAAGAAGTTAGGAGTCGACAGAAACATATATGCATCGAAGAAGCAATTGCAACCAATATATTGTCTTTGGGATTAATAATTATTGTCTTTATCAATATATTGTCTTTTGTATACATTTCCTTGTTGAATTCTACAATAGTTAGATCTAAAATAATAACCAAAACTTAATTGCAAAAGCTTACGGGTTTCCGGGTGTAAAGACGAAGAACGTGTTCGTTGGAAGAACAGTGGATGGAGAAGAATTGATGTTGCCAGTCATTCTGCCAGGGTTCTTTAAATTCTTCAAAAAATTATCACCAGGTCTTGCATGACCACCTAACAGTGAACACCAGACGTAAACCATATGTGCTTTATATAAAGGCTTTAGATTATGCTTAAGGAAATTTTGAATGTATTCCACTAACTATGCGGTACTTGCAAAGTTTGAAAAATCGCCGTGGGGAGTGTACTCCAAATGGCCCATTCTTGATAATAACTCTGATAATAACTGCTCAGTTTAGCTTGCGATTTATTATGGATAATGAACAAGCGTTCATTTGTCCGGAAACAACAACAGTCAGTTGTTAAGAAATTCGTCAAAAAAGGACCAGGGAAGCACAAAAAATGGATGCTACCAAGGACATAATTTCTGTTTTTATGCTACTATTTGAGGGTTACGTCGGGGAAAAATTTAATAACTAACTGTTTTATCTGACTTTTGCAAGAATTAGAAGTTGCATGTATTGAAAAAACATTTTATAGATGGCCTTCTATTTTGTGTTTTTTACTATCTAGCATTTCAAGGTAGTTTTTAGGACTCCTGTGCTTATAGGGCAGTGTCCTGGTTCTTTCTCCAATGTGACAACAACTCATAACTCCTACGTCTGGAAATATCAAGAGCCGACGGGTCTCCCAACTTAAGGTAAGGTTTGGTCATGTCACGGACAGGAACCTTAGACCCTTGGATCTGATACGAAGCTTCTTTAGCCGCAGAGGCACCTTTTCAAAAAGCTTTCTGTAGCAATGGAAATTTTTTATAGAGATTAGTTATAGAAACAGGAAAATTAAGCAAACAGAAAGATGAATTTGTACCTTTGATGCACCAAAATTTATCAAAAAGCCATAGTCATAGCATAGGCAAATTAATTTTTTGTCATGCATGCAAGCAGTGAGAATTAAAGGAATACTTAGGTGCAAGAAAGCTACAGTATAAAAAATTGGAGGGTATCTATCAAAGGCTGAAAAGGCTTTGATGTAAGTTAAAATGCTTACCGTCCTCTGGGCCTGAGTCAAATTCGTCATCTGAAACGTTTGCTTTTTTCTAAAAAATAATATGCATATTCAGAAGTACATGTATACTAATTCAAAAAGCACGCAAAATTACTCCGCAAATTCATGATAGTATGAAAGATTTCAGCACATCAAATGATGTGTAAATTGGGGGACTTTAGAATGCAATGATGCACAGGCGAGTTCCAGACAGGATATCTTGCTTACACTAATAGAGGAGACTTTCTCTCCAAATTAATGCATATCTAATCTCGAAAAGTCAAAATTCAAAACAAAAATGTATATTTACAATGTATGTGGATTCGACTCTCTTTCACATAGATTTAGAGAAATATCTCAAACGAAATTAGACCTACTCCATCCTTTTCCAAGGAGGAAGTTGCAACCATTACATATTTTAAACGATTCTGTAACCTTTGCAGTAATATATCTGTTATGTTGGTTATATCGATTTTGATTCATAGCAACGTAATTAATTAAATTTCAGAAGAATAACAATAGTATTGTTTGAGATTATGCTAAAATTTTCTTTCAGTATTCAAGCAGTGTATCGATTACCTTGGATGAATTTCTATCATTGTCTCTGTTCCTAAACGAAAAAAATTCAGAAATGAACTATGTTTAAAATTCTAAAGACTAACAGAATTCATGTCATTACTTTTCCTCTCCCTCCATATCTCTGTTAGCGATCGTTAATAAAACCTTTGGTAGTTGATGCTTGAAAGAACCTAATCAACAATAACCTTGACTTGCAAAGGACGAGTAAAAACTGACCATTTACAAACGATTGTTTTTAGCGGTACATTGGCTTACTTATTACTTTAATCGCACAACAAACCTTCTATCATCATGATTGACTTTGGGGGCATATTTTTCTTTGATTTCTTTCTGGTGCTTTTGTCTTTCTTCTTCTTCCTTCTCTTCATCCTTGCCAAGAAGCTGTGCGTTTGTTAGATTATCCACTGCGATAGCCAAGAAGACATTCAGCAGTGTGTCTTTTATAAATTAAGGAGTTTCTTGACAGATCGAATGAATAATCACTCCATATGAGCCTGACTCGTTTATTTATAAAGCCCAAAGAAATGTGTATCTATTTGCAAAACACACACTTTTTCTTACGAGTAATCAACATTTTGAATCCACATACTCACTTTATCAATGGCAAGGGAGAATCCAACTATATCTTGAGTAAACAAATACTCATGGTGTCTAGAACTATAAAATACATAAAAGCCACCCATCGGTGAACTTAGTAGGGTCTTTTTTCGACCATCATTACATTGTAATCACTTAAAATCATGTACCCAACACTTTTCTTTAAACCAGTTTTTCAGATACTTCTTTGCTTTTGCTAAGTTTTCTAGCCATTTTTCATTTTAAGCTGCTAAGGTTGTCTGAAGTGAAGGTATGCCTTAAAATTAAAGTCATTTAATAATCATAAGGAGTGCATGGCAGTAGGTCCATGCCAAAACCCACAAATGCA